TCTGTCATAATATGGAGTGTACCATACCATGTACCATTCAGACTAACGATTGTATGCCAAGTATGAACTTCATCATATTGTCGATCATCACTTTTTCGTATAAATCGACCGTCGATTATGATTAACGTAGTAAGTACAATGGTAAATGTAAAACTTGTTCTGATGAATAACATTTGAGCAGTTCAATTCGTAATCTGATCAAATAAAGAAAGACACATAGAGTTGCGTGAATTCTATCATAGTCTTTAGTTCAGATTACAACATCGTACAAACTGAATCTTCGTTCAACATCAAAACTTTTGCCTAAGGAACTTAAGAATTCTGTGCATCAGAACACACTGCATACGTGCCTTTATTCGGACTTGTAAGCTGAGGATGATATAAGAGCCCTACTCGGGTATGTAGCTTCAAAGAGAAAAACAGAATCAAGCAGTAGACTGAGCTAAATATGGGAGAAGTGTTATTCGATGTATCACCAATGTTTTTCTTTGCACTATAAACAAAGTAGAAAATGAGATAATATCATCAAACGAATTCAGCTTCAAAGACTATATTGTAACTTCAGAGAAATTCACATTCGAATGAGAATTTCCTTATCTAGAATAAGGATGTTACTTTATTTTTATAAAATAAAGATAAAATAAATAATAAAGAATTTTTTTCCTATGAGAACCTAACTTTTAAATTTTACCAGGCAGCTCACAATAAATTATCATATCATAAATACAAATCAAATATCCAGAAAAGTTTTTTGCATATATTTTTTCATGTGTCAGCTTCAATTTTTATAATATTACATATTGAAGTGATGTTGCTAATAAGAAAGGTTATAGATTAACATATCCTCTTGTTATATTAAGTATTTGTCTATTTACCGATGGCAGACAAAAATTTTTCTTTATTCTTTATTTTATAAATATAAAGAATGTATTTATATGTAGTTTATAAAGTAACACTCTTGTCTAGAGTATCTATCATACTGGCGAGAAAGCGACGCTATCTTATTTTGATAATCTTAGAAATGAACGAAAAGATTTAATTGACGAAAGCAGCCTCAAACTAGACTTGAACTAGAATTCATGTGACCATGATGACAACAA